CAGTAAAAGAAGATGGAAAGAGTATATAGTCATTGTACCAAAAGGAATTGGTGGACACAGAAGAATTTTATGAAACAACATATGAGCAAGAGCTAGGGGTGATGAAAAAGTTCGAGCCACTCTGAAAGTATTCATAAAGTATAAGGCCCCAGAAATTGGCAGCATACCAATTGACATATTTCAACAAACAGATGCTGCCCTGGATGTGCTCACCAAGCTGTGCCAAGAAATCGAGGACAGCCACATAGCCAACTGATTGGAAGAGATCTATATTTGTTCCCGTTTCAAAGAAAGGTGACCCGACAGAGTGCACAAATTATCAAGCAACATCATTACTATCACATGCAAGCAAGATTCTGCTGGAAAATTATGCAAGCATGATTGGAAAAACACACCAACAGAGAACTGCCAGATGTGCAGACTGGATTTAGAAGAGGCCGTGGTGCTAGGGATATTATAGTTAATGTCAGATGGATCTTGGCTGAAAGCAGAGAGTACCAGGGGAGTGCCTATCTGTGTTTTATTGAGTATGCCAAGGCATTTGGCTGTGTGGATTACAACAAACTGTGGCTAAATTTGAGAAGAATGGGAAACCTAGAACACTTGATGATGCTTATGTGAAACCTATACTTGGACCAGGAGGCAGTAATCAGGACAGAGAAAGGAGACACTGCATGGCCCAAAATTGGGAAGGATCTATACTAGGTATGTGTCATATCCCCATACCTTTTCAATCTATATGCAGAACAGATTATCTGGAAGGCTGGATTGATGAGGAGAAATGTGGCATCAGGATTGGAGGAAGAATCATCAACAACCTGCGTTATGCAAATGACAAAACCCTGCTTGCTGAAACTGAGGAGGACCTGAAGAGCTTCCTGCAGAAGGTCAAGGACTGAAGCCTTCAATATGGATTGAGCTCAACATCAAGAAAATGAAGATTCTCACCACTGGGCCTATTGGCAGCATCATGATAGATAGTGAAGAGACTGAGATTGTTCACAGCTTTAGTTTGCTTGGCTCCACAATCAACATTCTTGGTACCAGTAGCCAGGAAATTAAGATTAATTGCACTGGGACAGTTTGCTGTCAGAGACCTCTCCAAAGTACTGAAGAGTAACGATGTCATTCTAGAGACCAAGGTGCACCTGATTCAGGCCATAGTCTTTGTAATTACTTGCTATGCGTCAGAAAGCTGGACAATGACTAGACGTGGTAGAATGGATGCCTTTGAGCTGTGGTGCTGGAAAAGAGTATTGAATATTCCATTGATTGCTAGGAGAACAGACAGGCTAATCCTAGAGAGAATGAGACCAGGCTTCTCCTTGAAAGGAAGGATTCTGAAGTTTTGTCTAACATACTTTGGACATGTTGCAAGGAGGGACCTGTCCTTGGAGAGGGACATCATGCTTGGGAGGGTGGAGGGATAGCACAAGAGAGGAAAACCCTTGATGAGATGAACTGATTCAGTAACTGGATTACTGGGGATAGGAGAATCAAACACAATAAGATTGGCATAGGATAGAGCAGGGTTTAGAGCTGTTGTACCTAGGGTCGCTATGAGTCTCAGATAACTCAACAGCACAAAACAACAACAACATAGATCATTTATGGAGCCCTGTTAATGAAAACATTAAATTTGTGATAGGTAATTTGAACCTTCAGTCTAATCCATGGGGAAAAGACAGTAAGCATCCATAAAGATTTCAGTCTTAAAAACCATATGGAGTTTTTAGCTCCTTACCTAGTGGTAACCCACAGGCATATGGTTCAGATTTGCCACCTGCGTCGTGGGTTGAAGAAACACAGTCTCCTGCCATGTAATTGACTGCCTCTGAAAACCCACGGGGGCTTAGCTATGAGTCAGTTCTTCGTTGACTGCACTTATAACGACATAGTGCATTTCAGAGTCACAGTCAATGCAACAGCCACAGATCATTTTAAGATATCACCTGTATTCTTCAGTTTATGACTCTTTCTGCCATCCTAAAAATGCAGTAGCTCTAGTTTTGTCACTATATCTTGTCTGTTGTTGACTCTTTTGATCATCTAATAAATATAAGGACCTTTATGATTCTATTCACCAACTTCTAGTGGTGAATGAAATCCACCAGCTGCAATTAGGAAAACAGATGGGCATTTTCTTCCCTCATGACATAAAGCCTCTGAAAACCTGCTGGAGGGTCAACTACAAGTCAGTTCCAATTATGAGTACTTAACAACAACTGATAATCCAAGATAATACTCCCATTTGAAGATCTTTCACTTAGCCATATAGTCAAAGGCCCCTTTGTCATGCAAAGTAGCATATTGACAGGTTACAGAGAATAAGATTTGAATATTTTGGGAGAGAAGATTTTTATTCTGTTTACCAAATCTTTGCATTATAAGCATCTGTCTACTAAATTTAGGCACCTTTTTATTTTTATGTATAGTGTGTTCCTAGAAAAATGTGTAAAGTATATACATATGAATTTCAACTATTTAACAATCTATAACAAGATGTTTCTATTCCCTCTGAATTTAGAAGGTAAAGTAAATTAAAATCTTTAATTATAGCATACTTTTTGAACTAAGTCTTCCATATGCATTGGCTGTTGTTAGGCACCGTCAAGTCTATCATTGCTTCTAGTAATGCTATCCACAACGCATCTGGCCCTTGCCCTCTCCTGTGCTGTCCTCATTCTCGCATCCATTGTTACAGTCACTATGTCAAGCCATCTTGCTGAGCGTCTTCCTCTCTTTCACTGACCCCTCTGCCCTTCCTAGCATTTTATCTGTTTTTTAAGGACTGACTTTCCTGTCCTGACAACATACAACATGTGCAAAGTATGTGAGATGAAATTTCCCCATCCTTGCCTCCATATGTACTGCTGTTGTTGTTGATTGTCTTTGAGTCGAGCATGACTCATGGCAACCCTATAAACAAAAGGCCTGAAACCTTTCTATAACTATCAACATTTATCAAAGTTCATAGAGTTTCCGGAGGCCTGTTGTTTAGCAAGTGGATGCTACTCCTCCTACCAATATGTATCTAGCATTAAAAAAAATAATGTTGCCATTGAGGCAACTCATAACAACCTTATAGGATAGAAAAACTAGAGTGGAACTATCCTTTAATCATTCCAGGTTTATAATATTTGGGGAAGCTGACTGAAAAAAAAATCTTCCTCCCCCAGAAGAGCTGATGAATTTAAATTAGCAGGCTTTTGGTCAGCAGCTGAGGGCCTGACCATTGTGAACCACCAGGCTCCTTCTAGTATCACATGTTGTGTACTACAGTCGGAACCCCCATAGCAGACCCTCCAGCAGGTTTTCAGAGGCTGTTAATCACATGGAAGGAGATTATCCATCTTTTTTCCGCACATACATGTGCCTTATTCTTTTTTCCATAATTGAAATCACAGTTAAATGGTTTAAGTCTAATGAATTGATTGAAGTTGAGGAGATGTAATGATAACCATATTTACTTGTATTAGTTTTATAACTAGGGAGCTCTAGTGGCTTAGTAGTAAGGACTGGTGAGGAGATGCTCTGGCAATCCAAAAATACATGGTTTGAATCCACCAGCTGTTCCATGGAAGAAAGATAAGCAGTCTCCTCCCATGAAATTTGCTACATCTGAAAACCCCCTTGAGGGTCAGCTATGGGCTGGTTCCAAATATCCATATGCATGCAAGGAAGTCCAGTGAATACCACTATCATTCAGATATATGCACCAACAACCAGTGCCAAAGAAGAGGAAATAGAAGATTTCTACCAACTTTTACAGTTGGAGATCGATCGAACATGCAATCAAGATGCATTGATAATAATGAGTGACTGGAATGCAAAAGTTGGGAACAGAGAAGAAGATTCAGTAGTTGGAAAACATGGACTCGGTGAAAGAAATGAAGCTGGAGAGAGAATGATTGAATTTTGCACAATCAATGACTTATTCATAGCAAATACATTTTTTAAGAGACATACATGCAGGTTATACAACAACAACAATAGTACTAAATTTTCACTATTCCTTTTATTATGAAAAAAAAATAAATGCTCATTTCACACACACCACACTGAAACAGAAACTAAAGTCTTGTCTCATAGGCAGACACACTGTGACATTTTAAAAAATCTGTCCTTCAATGATGAACTATTGCCCAAAGCTTTAAAAATGCAAGTTAGGGTGGTCATTCTAATGGAATAAAATCCTAGCTTTTCCAAAATACAAATAGGATCTGTATTAAACCAAAGAAGTATTGATTATTCTTTGCTTTATATTTTGGTTTAGTTTTGTTTGTATTATTGAACAAAAAGCCACATGAGATATACTCTGTTTTTTTGTTAGCATGAAACAAACTAAAATATCCTTTAACTAATACTTCAAGAGAAATTATTTTACATAATCAATTCAACTAAAATAAGAATGAATGTATGCTTCAAAAAGGACCTTTATTTAAAATAAAAAACAGATGACACTAAGTAAATTTTCATTTAAAAATTCATTTGGATTTGTACCAAATCTTGAGAGTTCATTATAATGTAGAGAGTAAGTATTTCTTCATACCACGTTAAATTATCTTTCATTTATATTAACTACAAAACAGACATAAAAGAAGAATATATCCTCAAATTGTGTGTGTAAACTGCATGAGAAAAAAAATTCATGGACTTCAGAGTCAACCTTCAGTAAGCTTTAATATATTTACATTTTGCTAATAAGAAATAGGTCACATTTAAGGAAGAACTAATAGTGTCAAAGGAAGTTAATTTTTAATCCATTACTAGTGATACATCTTTATTGGTGACCTGTCCTGCCATTGTTTATTACCTGTCCAACCATTGTTTCCCAGCAGGGTCCTCGAGGTACATCTGCTGGGTGAACAAAAAAAGGTGGTCCAGTGCTATTTCCAGAGAGGGACTCATTGTAGGCCTTAATCATGTTGGCTTCCCAGAGGGTAATATTGGCCTTAACCAGCTTCTCCTCTTCAATCTAGAGAGCAAAGAAATACAAATAATACAACACAGATTTTGTAGGTATTTCAGATAACATTTGAGACTAGCAATTTAATACAAAGCAATGGCAAAGATAATCAGATATAAGTTTTACCTTGTTGTTAATCTCATCCATCAAGGCAAGAATAAACACATACAAGTTCCCCAAAAGAAGAGCAAAAATGCGTCCCAAGAGCCATTTCAGAGCAATGAGGGGGTGGTAGTCCTCCAATTCAGCAAATAAGTCAAACAGAGTTGGACAGAACATCCCCAGAAGAGACATAACCATGTTCATCTACAAGGAAATACAAAGAATGAACTCAATTAATGGCACTTAAAACCATATCTTTCTTCACAGCAGCATTATACACAATAGCCAAAATGGAGGGAAAACGTAAGTATTTACTAAGAAAAAAACAACACAAAAACCAAAACCAAAAAGCCAAATGTGATAAATGCATAAAACAGAATATTAATCAGATATAAAAGATGAGAGTTTTGATACAGCCTATAACATGAATGAAAATATGTTAAATGAAATAAGGGAGTTTTGATGGCTGAGAGGTAAGTATTGATGCTGCCAACTCAAAGCAGTTGGTTCAAATCAACGATCTGTTCTAGAGGAAAAGGATAGGCAATCTCCTCCCATGAGATTTACGGCCTCTGAAAAACTCCTGAAGTGTCAATTACAAGTTGGCTCTGTATTTATGGCACATAACAATAACAACAAATTAAATAAGCCATATAAAAGAGGGGAAATGTTTTCTGATTCTCTCTCTATGAAATCCCCAGAACAGGACAATTTATCTTGACAGAAAGCATATTAGAGCTTAGTAAGGGCAGGAAGAAAGGGAGAGTGGGGAATGGTTAATTAAAGTTTTTGTTTGCAATGATAAAAAATAAAAAAATAAATAGTGGTGGTGGTTGAACAGCTCTGAACAACATTGAATTACATGCTTAAAATGACTATACACACACACAAGACACACATATGTGAAAGAATTTAAAATATTTCTTTCCCTTAGAAATCTGATATTCTCCTCAGCTAGGTTCTCTTTGATCTTTCGCAGGACTTAAGAAGATTATTCCATGCATTTTTACACTTTGATCTTAATAAAACAACAAAGACAATATTCAACTCACATTCACAAGGGGTATTTATGTGTGTGTGTGTGTATATGCCAGTAATAGCATTTCCAGTCATAATGAAGGATTCAGTTTACATTACTCCCACTTGGAGAGTGGATTTTTATATGGTGATACACTTTATAGCAAGATTTCCAAAGGAAAAGGCAAATGACCTGCATGCTCAGCAATTTATGCTGTGCTGTTACAGGTGCTGTCAAGCTGACTGTAACCCATAGCAACTCTACAAGCAACAGATTGAATCCTTGCTCTATTCTACGTCATTCTTATGATCTCTGCCATACCCAAGCCTATTGTTTTTTCATCCCAAAGTTTTTCCGTCCTTGCCTCTAAGAAACACCATCGTTGAACTTCCTCCAAGAATAATTTCTTTATTTTGGCGGTTTATAGGATATTCAATACCTTTCACTAACCCTACAATTCAAAGGTATCAATTATTTAGCCTTCCTTATTCTTTGTCCAAGTTTCACATACATATGAAGCAAAGGAAAACATCACGACTTGGGTCAGACGCACTGGCTTAGTCTTCAGACTTACAGCTTTGCTTTTTTGCTTTTTAAAGAGGTCTCTGACAGCATCTTTTCCAAATGTAAAACATCTTTATTTCTTGACTACCACTACCATGGATGTTGTTTGTGGATCCAAATAAAAGAAAATCATTGACATCTTAAACCTTTTCTCCATCTATCATGATGTTGGCTATTGGTTCAGTGATTAGGATTTTTTTCTTGATGTTGAGATGTAGTTAATTAATATAGAAGGCTGTTGTCTTTGATCTTCAAGTTTTCTTTTGTTTCTGCAAGCAAGTTTATGTCATCTGTGTAATGTGGCCTGTTGATGAGTCTTCTTCTAATCTTTTTTTTTAAAATTTTTTTATTAATGTTTTTTAATTTAATTTAGTTTGTTTATTTTTAATTTCAATGAACATCTACAGAGATTTTGGAATTCCATTCATTCATTGTTGCACCCTTCTCCCCGCACAAACCCCCCCCCATTTGCTCCTCTCCTTGAAAAGCAAAAGAAAAACCCCCTCATTGGTACACAATCCCCCCGCACCTCCCCAAACCCCACCCCCTACCCCCAAATATAATCCACTCTGCAACCCTCATTGCGTACTCCTACGATAAAAATAATGCCCTAAAATATAATACTTTTAGACTGTTCTCTACCCCATAGACTTCAATGCCGTAAACATATTTCATCCAGTTTTTCTCATCTTGATGCCAGATTCTTCTCCATACAGCCTAGCTTCTTGAATGATTTTTTTTCAGCATGCCTGTTTAGTAGATAAGGTGGGGGAAAAAAGATATAATCCTGATGCAGTTTCTTTTAAACCATGCAGTATCCCTTTGTGTGTGAATTACTGCTTCTAGATATGTTGTTGTTGTTGTTGTAGTTTTGTGTGTCATTGAGTGAAGTACGACTCATAGCGGTATTATGAACAACATATCTAAACCCTCTCCTATCCTGTGCCATCCTCGTCATATCTGATACACTTAAACCTTTTGCTACATTATTGTATCAGTCCATCTCATTGAGAATCTTCATCTTTCACTAACCCTTCGCCTTTCTAAGGATGATATCCCTTTTCAAGGAATATTAACTTGATAATCATTAGCATATTGGCTAGCTTTATCAGTTAGGATTGGGCAAGTTCTCTAAACTAGTTTCACTTTGGAGATTGCAAAGTATTGGGGCCATAACAATTTCATGGGCTTTTCCAGAGAAAACAGAGGGCATTCCAAGAAGCACGAAGAGAAACACATGGCAGAATGTTATCACGACCAAGTAGGAAAGTTTTAAAAATTAAGGAACTGTCTATATATTCTAAAGATAAAGTAGTGATGTGGGTGGGGGAAACAAAGGAAATATAAAAACTGGGAAATATTTTGTCTATATATCCTGCCTGCCTGGCCAACACAGATTGTTGTTGTAGTAGTTGTTGTTGTTGTTGTAGTATACCATCAAATCAATTACAACATTTGGTGACCCTATAAACAACAGATTGAATCATTAGCCTATCCTACACCTTCCTCACAATATCTGTCATGCTCAAACTCATTGTTTCAGCCAATGTGTGAAACTATGTCTCTGAAGGTTTTTCACTGACCTTATTGTTGTTAGGTGCTGTTGAGCCAAGTATGACTCATAGCAATCCTAGGAACAATTGATCTGAATCCTGCCATATCTTGTGCCATCTTCACTGTCTCTTACATGCTCAAGTCCATCACTACAGTTACTGTGCATAAAAAGAGAAAGAATCACATGAGGCCACCCATATCAGACCTTTATCGACTTCAGAAAGAATAACTGTCCCCGTTCACAGCATCAATAACACAAACTCAAGTCCCATGAAGTCAGACATGTACCCTATACCCCCATACTTCCTTCTACTCCTCTAAACAGCAATCTTACTACTTCGCTGGGTCCAAATTCTGATGTAATAGCTCACAGACCACATAGAACTATAATGGGGAAGTAAAAAATTTACAATCTAGATTAATAACAGAATACGGTCAAGACGCACAGACACCTCAGCCTCAAGACTCACAGCTCTAAGAATTCTCAAATTCTCAGTCCTGCCAATATTGGCTTTCCTCCCCAGTTGTCCAACAAAGTTGTCAGTCTTGCCAATATTTGCTCTCCACCAAATGGTCCAACAAACTTTTTAGTCCTGCCAATATTGGCTCTCCACCCAATTGTACAATAAAGTTCTCAGTCCTGCCAATTTTGGCTCTCCTCTGCCTCCTTTCAAGGTGTCATCTCATTTCACATCAATTCTCTAGTTCAGCCATGACTGCTGCTATCCAAAAACATCTCCTATATTTCACCAGAGGTAGTCTCTCTTCTCTGCCTGGAAAAAAATTTCTTCCTCTTCTGATGGGAAAAAAAAAAATTGTCTCTGCATCTAGATCTATTTAATTCATTGATGAGACCAGCCAATCCTCTTGTAGATAGTTGAGACTGGAAAATCCTCTTGTGGCGTGGCAGATTGGCCAATCCCTTTGTGGATAAGCCAACATGCCACATGCACATAGTCCCACCCATCTAGTCAGTCATCCACACTAGAAGAGCCATATTGAAAGACAAACTCCTCACTGTGTCAAACCACCTGCTTTATAGTCTTTCTATTTTTTTGTCTTCCCTTCTTCCTTCCCAAGCATGTGCCTCTCCAAAGAATAACTTATCCTAGCAACATGCACAAAGTATGTGAGACAAAGTTTCATCATCTCTGCCTCTAAGGAGCACTCTGACTGGATCTTCTCCAAGACATATCCGTTCATTTGGCAGTCCATGAGATACTCAGCACTCTTCACCAATATAACAGTTCAAAGGCATCAGTTCTTCTTTTATCATCCTTATTAATCATCCAGCTTTCAGATGCATAGCAGGTGACTGAAAGACCATGGCCTGAATCAGGCACACCTTAGTCCTCAAACTGACATCATTGCTTCTAAATAAATTGGAGAGTTCCCTGACTACACACTGTCCCAATATAATACATATCCTGATACCTGACTGCTAGTATCAAATGTACTGATTGTGGATTAAAGTTAGATGAAGTCTTTGACAGTCTCAGTATTTTCTCCATCTGTCGTGATGTTGTCTATCAGTCCAGTGCCAAAAATGTCTTTTTTTTTATGCTGAGATGCAAGCCATTGAATCTATATTTAACTTTCCTCAATAAGTGCTTAAAGTCCTCTTAACTTTCAGCAAGCAAAGTTGTGTCATTTGCATAATGAAGGTTATTGATAAGTCTTCATCCAATCCTCATGCAATATTTTTCTTCATAGAGTCCAACTTCTTGAATAATTTGCTCACAATACATATTGAATAAGTGTGAAGAAAGGCTACAACCCTGATGCACACCTTGGCAAATTTTAAACCATGCAGTGTTCCTTGCTCTGTTCACAGGTAGGTATAAGTTTTGCACCAGCACAATTAAGTGTTCTGGAATTCACATTCTTTTCAATGTCAACCATAATTTGTTAAGAACTGCACAAATTCCTTTGCATAGTTAATAAAGCACAAATAGACAATTTTCTGGAATTCTTCACTTTCAGTCAGAATCCACCTGATGTCAGCAATTCCTAGTGCAAAGGTATCATTTAAATCCTGCTTGTATGTCTAGAAGCACTCTATGTACTGTTCTAGCCACTTTTTTATGATCCTGAACAGTATTTTGTTTGCATGTTCTATTAATGATATTGTTCAATCTTTCCCCATCATAATGATGTCTTTTTTGAAGGGCTGTAACCTGCTAACAACATGCCTGAAGTGTATGGGATGATGTCTTTCTCCAAGGAATAGCCTTTACTAACAACATGAAGTCATTTAAAATACCATAGATTTTGCCAGGTGCCCCTTAATCTTTAATCTGGAAACTTTAAACTGGAGAAGCTGAAGACAATAATGGGAGGAGGGGACTTAATTAAATTTAAAAAAGATTTCTTATATCTCTGATGACTCACTTTCCCAAATATCTGGATCAAAAGCTTAGCACTAAACATTTCCAATTTTCCTTGGAAAATTCCCTGTTTTAATTATAAGTACTAGATTATACTTAGAAAATAATTTCATTTTTTTTCTCACTTTCATTATATAAGTGTGACCAGCACAAGTCAACAACCAATGTGGCATAACATAAAAAAGAGTAAAAAAAATATTAGCAATTTAGCCAAAAGACTTGGAATATCTTGTGCAATTTTACATAAGACAAATTTAAATTTCTTTTCATGACATTTCGTAAGTTGCCAGTGAACTCCCATTTTTATCTTTCATACCTCTGAGAATTCGGACATCTCCTAAGAGGGATGTTAGACAGTTTCTTTGAAACAGTAATCTCTTTGTTTTTGTAATCACTTGGTATGATTTATTTCTTTAAACAGGCAATCAATATAACTATGCGACAGAGTTGTATTATTTTACCTGTAAGTGCTATCAAAGTTAGAAAAGAGAATCTTGACAGCTGTTTTAGTTAATCTTTTAGGTTTTTCTTTATTTTAAAGAGTAAATCCCTCTATCTGATAACAAGATAGATTTACATAGTAACTGCATCATTGGTGAAGATGCAGGACAGGGAGGTTCAGATCTGTTGGTTATAAGGTTGCTATGAGTCACAGTTAAATTGATGGCACAATAAAAATAACGAGTATGAGGATACAAGGAGGGGTTGCAGTTGTTGTTAAGTGCGGTCGAGTCATATACAACTCATAGTGACCCTATAAAGGAAAGACCTGAACACTTGTAAACTTTCATTGTTTCTCCAAGTTCATAGAGTTTCCGGAGGCAAGTTATTTCAGAAGTGGATGCCACTCCTGCTTTCAAGCTTGTTTAAATCAGAAGCTCCACCAAACACTGTCCATAATGGGTGACTATTATTTCATTTAACACATTAGTGTCACAGTGTTCAGCTTCACAGCAACCACGAGTTACCTCTGTACAGCAAATGGACAGACCAGTGCAATAACACTTAGAAGAATGTTTGACAAAAACCAAACCAAAACAAAAAAGAACAAACAAACCAGTCCTGAGTGCCACAGGGGAGGCTTTAACCACAGGGTTGCACAATTTGATAGGTGGAGGGAGGGATGGGTAAATTAAAGGGAAAAGATCCGATGTGAAAAACAACGTATGAATTTTATGAACTTTGTATGCAAACCAATATAAAATTAAAAATAAAACCAAACACACACTAATAACATTCTTATTTACAAGTTCCTGTAAGAGGTTTTTTTATATTGTTGTTGTCAAGTACCATTGAACCAGAACTGACCCATTGATGACACTCTGGCGGGTTGTCAGAGGCAGTTAATCCCATGGGAAAAGATTGTCCATCCTTCTCCTGAGGAGCAGCTGGTGCCCTCTAACGGCATACCTTCAGGATTACAGCACCTAACTAAAATATATAGTCCCGTATCTGCAATGTTACCAATTCTGAAATATTAGGATGTTTGCATTTTGAGACTTTTTAAAAAAGAAGTTTTGTTTTGTTTTTTAGAAGAAGTTTTAAAATCATTTGCTGCCTAAGATTTTTCTAAGAAATTCTATCTTTAGAAGACTGCTTTTGGTCTAGAGGCTCTCAAGAAGTTGCAGTGAAAATATACCCCAGAAATCACATGATGTGCCTAAACTTCCCACAGGCTAAATTGGTACATATTTTGAAAATTACCAAGTTCTAAATAATGCCACCTTGTACATTGGAACATTTTATGAAAGAGAACAAATCAGGTGACGATGCTTTCTTGATTCTAAATTTCTATTCCAACCCCCTTTCTCTGATTGGTAGTAAATACCAGTAAGTGTATAGATATTCTGCATATAATGACCATAATGTTTAACTCCTGATGTAGAGTTGGCTTCCTCATTTGAATCCTGTGGGGAGAGATAGGGAGTGGGGAAGGGATTCAGGCAGTTGAAAAAAAAAGGCAAGCTCAGATTAGCTCAAAGTGGGTTTGGTATTCTGAACATTTCCAATGAGATAAATTAAATACAATCTATTATCATTATTTACAGGCTCTCTACTTCAAATTTATCTTGCTATTTGCTGTGGAACCAATTCCCTCTAGTGGTGACTCCATGTTGCAGAGAACACTGTCCAGGATTTTCAAGGCTTAGATCGCAGACATGATTTCCCAGCTATCTCTAAATGGTTTCCAGCTACAAACATTTCAGCTGGCAATCAAGCTGTGAATAATGAGAATCTACAGTTTAGGAATCAAGATCATGATGTCTCAAAGAATTTAGAATTTAGCCAACAGTTGTATTTTGCAAATGCCAGCTCTGAACACACCAGCTAATGTCCAGAGATTCATCATTCCCATCTATAAATGCTAAGTGTTCACTTAATGTTTCTGGTATGTTTTCCAACTCTGACATCCCACAGTGTCACAAAATGAAACAAAAGCAAAATACAGTTAAGTAGACAGATTCAGAAATAAGGTTGGACAAGAGTAGAAAATGTACAACAGAATAGTTTGAATATAAGGACAGATACATAGAGCAGTCTTATTAAATGTTCTATCACAGAAGTATATAATCCACAAAATGGCAAATATCAGGTGCTAAGCACATAAAAAGCATGCAGGGACGAACTTCGTTTTTCTCCCACCACCCAAGGGTGTCAGGATCTTGCTGTGCAAACTCCTGGGATCGCTTCACAGCCCAGAAGATGAGGTATCCACTCCCAGCAAGTGTCAGAAACACGAAGAAGTTAGCAAGGAACCTCAGGAATCTGATCAAGTGAATGTTTTCTTCTACTTGGGCTGCTTTTTCTTCTATTATAGCTTCCTGGACACAGGTGAAACATAAAAAGAAAACAAATAGAATAATGAGCTACAAAAAGAGATCATTGAATTGAATTATTTTGGCAAACACCAAAATATGAGAAATGAATATGTTAACTAAATTCACCTAGTGAATTTAACTAATTTCACCTGGTAGATTTTCCCAGAAAATGAGACTAAAAGAAAGAAGGAAGAATTTCTGCAAATTCTAATTTATCTAATACTATTCTTTATCATAAAAGACATTGTTTTCCAGTACAGTTGCTTTTAAAATTATCTACAAAATAATGCTCTAGAGTAATTTTAAACATTGAGCTAACTTTTTCCTGTAAATAATTAATGAGCATTGTTTGAGGATTTAAAATATCTGATTATGATTACTAATGGCCTTATATTTCAAGCCATTGGCATTATTTTATTACCAAATTTAGAGAAGAAAGGCCTAGAAGGATAAAATGCCCATCAGGGTTATCAGATTTTTTTTTCCGTCATAATAAGAGTCCTACCAAGAGCCTGATAGGTGGAAACAGCGAATTATTCTTTATTTCATCTTTAAGATATTTCACTACTTATACTATATGGGATAATTTCACTTTTATTCTTAAAATTTTTAAAAACCAAACAAAAAAGAATGGAGGCTTGTCCATGTACCTTAAAGTTCATTGTGATAGAATTAAATTTGTTGTCTGCTGTTTCAGGATTGCCAATTAGGTAGTCCCAGCTCGTGAATATCATCCAGCTGAATTTGAAAGTGTTGTCATCACCACCTCCATCGTCACCAATATTTTGGGTCATTCTGTAAGAAGAGAGAATTTAACTAAGCAGCTAGAATTAAAAAAGGTAAGGACAGAGCAGGGAGTATCAGAACATATAAGATCCAACAATTAGAAAATAGAAGTTTATTTTCAAATTTTAGTTTTGGAAAGGTTGAAACCCCATTTCTCCTTGGAGGCTAGGATTTTGAAGCTCCGTCTCACATACTTTGGGCACATGGTCAGATAAGTCCAGTCTTTGGAGAAGGACATCATCCTCTGAAGGGTGGAGGGACAGCACAGGAGAGGAAGACCCCAGGCCAGATGGATTGATACAGTAACTAGGGCAATGGGGATAGGAGTGTTGGTGTCAGTGAGGCTGGTTCAGGACAGGGCAGGCTTCTGAGCAGTTGTATATAGGGTCTCGATGAGTTGCAGGCAACTCAACAGCACAACAAACAACAACAACAGCAGCATTTCTAATTTTGAGTTTTGTGTTGGCTTGATTGTAGATGAAAGTTATTTTTCCAGGTTCCAAGACTAAAAAATGACTGAACTGTAATCATTTTAATAAGTAAAGAATTACATAAAAAGATATATTTTATTTGTTCTGCATCTTAGAAATTCATATGATTGATCTTTTTGTGGGATGAAGATATCATTAAGAATCTGATTTAAACTGTTGTCTCTCCACAAGGAGAACACAAATGTATGTATGCACTCATTCTTCATTTGACCAAGTTTTCATTCAAAAATTGAGGTTATAAAAGTATAGAGGCTAATCACACTGGATCCAAAAATGAAGGATGACTACATTGTTAGCCCGATTATTATGTAACTGAAAAGTCACTAGAAATAATGGCTCGGCCAACTGATATCTAACCTTAACCCTCACAACAAAGATGCTCTTGCCTTGCACCTCAGTGTCCATTCCTGTCGAGCTATGTTGCAAAAGTGCCTAATAATAGTACAGTAGACTTTTCACTATTTTAATTATTGAATTCCAGAAAGAAAGATATTCCCTATATGAGAAGTAGGTTTAGATACTAAACTCTTCTAAACAACTTTAACTGTTTTTTAAAGCCTCTAAAATGTATGGATGGACCCACCCAGGTCAAGACATTTCGGTGAGGTTTCAATTCGCTGTAGAACTTCTTTGCAAAGAATAAGTCCACAAAATGCACTTCATTTTTGCTTCCTCTAATCTCTTCCTTTAAAAAAGTCAAAGGTTTTATCCAATCTTAATGCCAAATAATGGTGCACATATTTGAAGCATTATTTTCAAAACACATACTTTTGCTTGTAATTACAGATTTCTTTCAATGTTAGAAATACAAATTTCACTTTACATTCTTTCCCCCACAGTAACAAAATGGAAATATCATTTGACGTATTATGAAATAGCATAATATGGTTTGTGGTTTTATTTTTAATATTACAGTAATACAGAACTAAGAAAGGGAAACTCTATGGGGAAGTTCTTGTCTGTCCCATAGGGTCAGTATGAATTGGAATCATATTGACAGCAATGGATAACATGCTATGAAAATAATAGAAAAATAATACTTCCTTACATTGGTGAAATATTTTATCATTTTCAAATAATGTTTACATGTAGTCTCGTGTTAATTTTATGGAAATAGATTGATAGATTGGGCTATGGTTGGCTTGGGAGCTCTGATTGTCTAGTGATTCGAAACTGTGCAATCCCAAAGGCATGCAGTTCATATCCACCAGCTGCTCTGCAGAGAAGGATAGACAATCTCCTCTTGTGCAAATAACTGTTTCTGAAAAAGCTGCTGGAGGGTCAGCTACAAGTTGATTCTGACTCTGTGGTACACAACAATAACAACAACATAGCTTGGCTTAGGATATATAGAGACATTTATTTGGTTTCTTAAAACCTCTACATAAACCTATAAAATGGCCAAATGTTCCCATTGTATAAATGGAGCTTCAAGCCTGTGGTTTTGGATATGTAGATAAATGGCTTGGATATGAATTCTCCCTTAAGGCTATTTTCAAGTCCTAAAAGAGTTTTAAAACAAAATACACCAGTTTTCTTCAGAGAAACCAGTAAATCCAGCAGGTATAAGACACAAAACGTATCATAGACCATTCCAGAGAGCTCCTGCTTAAAGGAGGAGCATACATCATCCTTCCAACTCACTCAGGGAAAGGCTTTTGTTACTAAATCAGATCAGAAAATTGACTAAAGGATAGATTATTGACATCCTCAAATGACTGTGTAAAGTTTTAAAGTTTCTTTAAACAGCATATTGTACAGGGGAGAAGAGTGAACTATCATTTCATTGATTCCCCAGTCAAATCTTTCCTCATGCTCTAATAAATCTTTTTACAAGAAAACCATGTTATGTGCTGGATCATGATTGTCTCTTCTTCTTCCCCCCCCCCCTTTATTCTGAAGCTGAAGTTCTTTGGATGAGTGATTATCCTTGGGCTTCATTTTGTTGGCCTATTTTTTAATGAACAGACAACAGATTCAGCATATTGAGCTGATTCTGCAAATTGCAAATTTCTCTGCACAAGAAAAGAGGGGTCAGTGGCTATTTTCACTGCTGGCTGGACATGCAACCAGCCATCAGTGTGATTCTGAGAGGTGAGCCCAAGGCCGATGCTTGGATTCAGCCCTTTCGTTTTGCGGACGTGAGTCTGACATTACCACGGGTATTAAAGCTATATTTCATTTCTTACAGATGCTGCATCCTCTGGAGATCTAATAACAACAACATTATATCCAGTTCTGAAATTAATTCCCTCATTTGATTCCGGAAATTAATGTTTGCATCTCAAGAGACAAATGAAACTTACGCTTTGAGGACAACCACAAAGCTGTATCCAATGCACATAATGCCCACCAGAAAATAGGAGAGCGGCAACCGGAAGTTCATCCATCCAATGGTGCGCCGATTGTCGTAGTACCCGTAGAAAAGGACAGAATATTGTGCCAAGCCCTAAAAGCCAATAACAAAAACACTTAGCAGATGTTGGGAAGAGCAGTTAAAATGAAGGGGGTAGGATGGGGGTGGAAATCAACTCCTATCAAGAATAATAAAATGACATTAATTTTCAAACTTGAGCGATGATGGCTTTGAAATGAGTGCTTTTGTTCTACTTCATAAGTTGAAAGTCACAGTGCCATATTGTTTGCCAGCATTTGCTTTTAGTCTACATTCAGAGACTCTAAGTAGATCAAATCTTTAACCAAATATAGACTTGCTCGGCTGTGGAGATATTACCATGAGATGCACATTGACTTAAACATTTAAAGACACTCATAGTACCATTAGATTTCCAATGTTCTGAGCTTGTTTAGCGGAGAGCAGGGGAGGGGATCTGACACATGCAACCACTAAGGTTCCCACTTGCAGTGACCTGAACCACAATTATGTCAAACCAAAAAAACAGACCCAAAGCTGTGAGTCCATTCCAAATAATAGCTTCCCAGCAGGACAAAGGCGAGCTGACCCACGGTGTTTCCAGGGCTGTAAATCTCTACAGAAGCAGACTATTAGCGCTCTCCATGAAGCAGCTGGTGAGCTTCAACAGTTGACTCTGTGGTCAGCAGCTGAGTATTTTAACCATTAAGCCACTAGAGATTACTTAAGACTGCATTCTCTCTGAATCCAAGGGCTGTGTGCCTCTGTTAGCAAAATCGAGGCACAGGCGAGATGACAAAGAAATTAAATCTTCAAATCGCCAAGCATATGACATTCTCCTATAACAAATATATTCGTTTACACGTCAAACTATCTGTCCTTAAAAGGCATACAAAACGCCAACAGGCAGCCAGAGTTGGAATTACTCTCTCCCAAAGCCACCTCAAGAAATAATTTCTCCTTATATGCAGAACATGGACCTGTTCTCCTGTTGCTTCCATTACAGCGTTCTTCATCTTCTTTTCTTTACCTTATCAAATGTTTTCCACTCTCCATATTAAAGTATTGTTTCTGCATTATTATATATGATTTTCCAGTTTCTGTTGGACATCCTACCTTAAAATCATTATGGTATGTGAAAGGAAAGCTAACTTGCCACTTTGAGTCTATCTCTTGAGATGAAGTGAGTCATCTCTGAATCTCAGAAACCCAGTTTCTTGAACATCATTTTTACTGATACAAGGATATTGAAGTCTCCTATTGAAAAGGGGAGAAGGAAGAGTAGGGAGAGAAAGAAAAGGAAAAGGAGAAAGAAATGCTTTGGATGCTAATTCCTGAGGAAGAATTACAGTAAGTGGGGAAATTGACATAAACAAAGGGCATACTTAGTTCAGTCAGAGGTGAATGGTTTCCAGGGGGTATATTCTCGAACTTTTGACCTATACTACTGGTTGGTGCCTGGCTGCATCAGGGACTCCTGAATAGGACCCTACATACCTTTTCTGAAAATATTTCAGCAAACTTAAACTCCACATTCATATATGGGAGATATATATATATATATATATATATATATATATGAGAGAGAGAGAGAACTGTCTTACAGTTTTCATCCTTAAAAGATCTCATTTCTAATGTTATATCCTATACTGTGGATTTTTTATCATTGTTGTTGTGTGCTGTCTAGTTGGAGTTGATAGCTGACCCTCCTGTGGGTTTTCAGAGACAGTTAATTGCACAGGAGTTTATTGTCCATGCTTTTTCTGTGGTGGATAAAAACTGGGTCTCTTCGGAATCAAAACCTTATCACTACATCTTCCAGCAATCATCCTTATCTCATTTCACTTTCCTGGCATTTGATTAGCATTATTGCTATATCAGTTGATGATTTTTTTTTAATTTAGCATTTTTCTGAACACTTGTATCTCACAGAATCCCCCCAAGAAGTTCCTACAGTTAAAGGCAATAGTTTCCCCCACTGTGATGCTCCCTCCACATTGAGAAGATCAATAAATATAACACACACCAGCCTCTCTTTGGTGCTTTACTCTGGCCCCAATGAGGAGAGGCCAATCCAATAGCAATACATGAAGTAAAGGGGTAATGTGAGTCATTTCTTCTTAAGCAAAGATTCCCTGCAAAGGATGAGTAGATAGATTTGACTATGAAGTCCATAGAGAGACATATCTGCTAACATCAGCTTTAATAGTATTAAAGATGGCATGTTGACCTCCAACTAGCTTACTCTTTGTTTTATTTGTGATTGACTCAGCAAGTAGTTCAAAGAGATGATGTTATTTATCATGTTTGTCAATATATACAAATAATCAAGAGCTACTGTTGTTATACCAATTTATAAATGAGAAGAGTGAGCCTTTAAGAAATGAAGTAATTTGTCCAAGGTCACAAAACTAGTAAATGACCAAGTATGAACTTGAACTGTAAAAAAAAAAATCAAGTCACACATTAACCATTGTTTGCCTTCAGCCCTTGTGTTATGCTAGTTACTTAGGTTTTCAGGAAGATAAAGAACATAAAACAAAACAAATAACCCTCCTAATGGAGGAAAAAGAATTAGCTGACGCAGAAGTATTTCAAGAAACAACATATGATCAAGAGGCAACGGCGATGAAGGAGGAAGTTCAGGCTGCTCTGAGAATTTGACAAAAAAATAAAGCCCCAGGAATTCATGGAATACCAACTGACATATTCCAGCAAACAGATGTTTCCCTGGATGTGCTCACAAGTTGTGCCAAGAAATCTTGAGGACAAGTACCTGGCCAACTGACTGGAAGAGATCAATATTTATTCCCATTCCAAAAAAAAGGTGACCTGACAGAGTGTGGAAATTATTATATCACTCATATCATATGCAAGCAGAATCCTGCTGAAGATTATCCCAAAATGACTGGAACACTACAATGACAGAGAACTAACAGAAATAAAAGCTGGGCTTGGAAGAGGCTGTGACACTAGAGACATTATAGCTAATATCAATCAGATGGATCTTGGCAGAAAGCAGAGTACCAGAGGAATATCTATTTGTTTCACTGACTATGCAAAGACATTTGACTGTATGATTACAACAAATTGTGGTTAACCTTGAGGAGAATGGGAATTCAGCAGTCCTCAGAGCAGAGCAGGTAAACACTACATGGTTCAAAATCAGGAAAGAAATGCATCAGGGATGCATCCTATCCCCATACATTTTCCATCTGTATGCAGAACAGATCATTTGGGAGCAGGGCTTTATGAGGAGGAATGTGGCATCAAGATTAGAGGAAGACTCATCAACAACCTGTGTTATGCAAATGGCATCACCTTAATTACTGAAACTGAAGAAGATTTTACGTGCTTGCTGCAGAAAATCAAGGACCGTAGTCTTCAACATGGATAAAAGCTCAATAACAAGAAGATGAAGATTCTCACCACTGGGCCAATTGGCAGCACCATGATAGATGGAGAGATTGAGATTGCTTGTTCGGCACCACAATCAGTACTCTTGGCATCAGCAGTCAGGAAATCAAAAGATGAATTGTATTAGGTAAATCTGCTGTCAGGGACCTCTCCAGAGTACTGAAAAGCAACGATGTCTATCTAGAGACTGAGGTACACCTGATTCATTCCACAATCTTCACAATTACTTGTTTTGCATCAGGGAGCTGGAAAATGAATAAGGATGACAGAAGGAGAATCAATGTCTTTAAGTTGTGGTGCTGGAGAAGAGTCTTGAACATAAGAAGGACTGCCAAGAAAACAAATAAATCTTCTTTGGAAAGGGTGATACCAAGTTTTTCCTTGGAGGCTAGGATTTTGAAGCTCTGTCTCACTTATTTTGGGCATGTGGCCAGGAGAAACTGATCCTTGGAGAAGGACATCATGCTTGCAAGGGTGGAAGGACAGCCCAGGAGAGGAAGACCCAGGATGAGATAGGTTTATACAGTTACTAGAGCAATGCGGTTAGGTGTGTCTGAGTCAGTGAGACAGGCTTAGGACAGGGCAGGCTTCAGAGCTGTTGTACACAGGGTCACTATGAGTTGCAGGTGACTCAGTAGCACATAACAACAATGAAGTGTGAATTTTTATCCATGCTACTGGATTGGTGCCTGGTTTATATCAGGACTCTCAGATATTTCGGCAAACGTGATCTCCATATTCATAAATATTATAAGTTGACTTTCCCCCCCCCAATTTCTGATGGCCTAGTTTAAAAAATAGTGACATGAAAGAAGAAAATAGATAAAGTAGATAAATACTATGCATCTGATAATTTGTTAGTTTAACACAGTAGCTACTAGAGCACGAGCTCATCTGGCATATGTACCATTAAACATTTGTTCAACAAGCTGGCACATCATAAATAGTAAATGGCAAGCAAAGGAGGTAAGGGTCCTCTTCTTGCTGGGACCCTGAGTGTTTCAGAAAGACTTTAGTTGCTTATTTACTATGTATTCAGCCAGATATTTAGATAAAAGAGGTACTAAAAAAGATATCCTTTTTAAAAAGAATAGTATATACTTTTATTTGGAAGATAATAATACATAGGTATCACCCCTCTAGTTATCTATTTTTACAATAATGGTATTATATAGTATTTGTCCTTATAAGACTGAATTGGTTCACTTAGCATAATGCTCTCCAGTCCCTCCTCCGTTAGGTAGTGATCTTCAAAATCATTGCTCCTGCACACTGTGTAGTATTCCATTGTGTAAATGTACCATAACTTCTTAATCCATTCGGTTGTGGTTGGACCTTTGGGCTGTTTCCACATTCTTGCAATAGTGAATAACGCTGCTATGAACATTGGTGTACAAATCTCCATTTGTGCCTCAGTTCTAATTTTCTCGAGGTATATTGGAATGCCTAAGTTCAGCTTTTAGAGGATATGCCAAATGGCCATCCAGGGTGATTGTACCATCTTATAATCCAACCAACAGTATATAAGAGTTCCTACCTCTCCACATCCTCTCCAACATTTATTACTTGCTGTCCTGTTAAACTTTGCCACTACTAGTGGGGTGAGATGGTATCTCATTGTGGTTTTGGTTTGCATCTTTCTTATTACCAGTGAATTGGCATGTATTTTCATGTGTTTATTGGCCATCTGAATAAAAAGATATCTTTTCTAAAAGCTTTGTCCAAATAGCATGCTAAGGGGTGATTTTAAACATGAGCTGAAAGGCTAGAAAATGAACATGCTTCCTTTCCACCCAGTGGGTAAGCACCCTCCACACATCTTTCCCCTCCCATAAAACTACAACAGCAGACATCTGGAAGTGCCTAAAATAACAGTGACTCTGAGCCTAGCCAAGGTTCTATTCAGTTTCCATGTCAGCGCTCTATGCTTTCCCTGTGGGAGCACTCTCCACCCCAAAATCTGTGACAGAGAGACCACAGTCAGAGCCAAGTTCCAAATGAACACAGAAAATCCCTGGCCAGCTCTGGAGTTCTATGCTCGCTTGGAGTCTATTAACACTAATTTCTGTTAGAATGTCGCAGGCTCATCAAATCCAAGGTTATTGGAAGAGTTCATAGAATGGAGAATGTTTCACTTTACGGTCGCCAATCATCAATTCATATATTCACTAATCATGCCAAAGTATTTATCAGGAGCTTAACATTTGCCAAATCCCGAACACAGAGGGAGACTGGACTTCAGGGTTTCCTGAAAAGATTTCTACTTGCAAAATTCTGAATGTTAGCAAACATGTTCAGTTCCTTATTTAATCAGCATGAAGCTTAGATATATATCCCCATATATTACTGTATGCCTTGATAAGTGGAATATGATATTAGAACATCTAGTAAAACCTTCTGTTCTTTGATGTTGTTCACTTGGAAGCAAATTCTCACTGGGAAAGAAAAGGCTTTATCTTTCGGATAGTCAGTTTCATTACCCTGAGTGATTTAATTTAGAGTAATCATCAAACCAGAATTTCTAGGTGGAGAAAGTCTCAATGTCCTGTCTGCTAACTGAAAGGTTAGCAGTGTGAAGCCACCCAGAAGGACTTCAGAATAAAGTCCCGATGACCTATCTATCTCTGAAGATCCAGCCACTGGAAACTGCACAGACAAAAGTGCAGTTGTCATGAATCCCAACTGACTCAACAGCAATTGGGATTTTTTATTATTAAGACCATTTGGCCAAAGACCTAATCTTAGTTATCAAGCGCTGTTAGTAGTAGTTGTTGTTGCTGTTGTTGTTGTGTGCCATTGAGTCAGAACTAACATATAGCTGACCCTCCAGAGGGTTTTCAGAGACACTGAATCACATAGGAGGAGACTGACCATTCTTTGCCTACTGAGCAGCTAGTGGATTTGAACCATGTGCCTTTGAGATTGCAGCACATTCTTGCCACTAGGCTCTTTCATAATTTAGGAGGCTCAACCCGACTCATTGCTGTTGAGATGAAACCAACTCACAGCAGCCCATCCAGTATATTTTTAGAGGCTATAACTCTGGGAGGAAAACGCTCATCTTTTTCCTTCAGAGCAGCTAGTAGAGTCGAACTGTGAGCCTCTGGGTGGGCATTGCAGCTTCCTACCCACTAAGCCACCAGAGTTCCAGGTACCAGGAGCTAGGCTCCAGGGGAGGTCTTTCTCTATCTTTTGGCTCTGGGGAAAGGTACTTGTTCCTATTAAGTGAGTCCCCTCAGAAGGGCCACTAAACCGTCTCTTCATGAAGTCATCATGCACAGAGGACATGCATCTTGTTAGAGATTTTCACATTGTATGGAAATTGTTTTTATGCCCCGTTTGAACATAAGGTCCCTGTAGTCAGGGAATAGATATTGTGTTTGGATTCTCAACATCTGACATTCAATTTATGCTTGTGGAATGACTGAATGAACAAAGAAATTGTTTCTGAATATTGCTTTTAGCAATTCTCGGATTAAGTCCTTTCATATTGGCAACTAAGAAAGGCTTTCTATTCTTCTATTTTCTGCTACTCATTTTAATAAAATACAATAAGTCATTCAAGACAATAGCATGGCAATAACAATTTTATGTTGAGATTTAGTGAACCAAGACACCAAAAGTAAATGAGAAACACTAAATCTGGCAAAAATCTTAATTCGTCTACTCTCTAATTGCACAGATCTCTACAAAATGAGAGAATCTCAGTGCTGTAAAACAAGCTGCTACATACAATTTCCTCCCATAGATGAAAAATGGTCTTCTGGTTCATAAAGTGGAGATCAACAGTAGCACATTATGAGATGTTCTTGGCCAGCTGACTTCTGGACTGTCCATCAATCTACTAGCTCTTTTAGAGTCAACTAAAGTGAATCTTTGTTAATTCATACATGAAATGAGAAGAACATGGCACAGCCTGTTTTAGGAATCACGTTTATGCTTTCTACTGAAAAGGAGATCTTGAACGACATCTGCAAAAATTTGAAAAGAAGAGCAAATACTTAACTTACTTAGGAAAATCAATCGAGTTCAAGAACTCCCAGTTCTATAACAGCAGTAAACGTGTTCTTAATTTTGAAAAGTATATTTGTAGAAAAACTTGGACTGCAACACTTTATAAATGAGTGACTTTAGTCACCTTTAGCATGTTTTTCAACCATCATCATTGTTAATTTCAAGTTTTTCTGTCACTGCCAACAAAAGCTCAATGTCCCAAAGAAATAAGTCATCTCTTCCTCCCCTCCCTGTTCCTACCCCTGAAAACCAGAAGTAAATGTTAGTCTCGGTACGCTTTACAATTTTGCTTCTAACCTTACCTTGATGCTTTTTTTTTTTGAGACCTGAAATGATACATCACTCATATAAAATACCCTCAAAAATAAAAAGTAATTTTAACTAGTAAAGGCTTGTGGTTTGAAACCATCAGAGCTGCTCCACAAGAGGAGAATGGGCAGTCTCCTCCCGTGTGATTCACGGCCTCTGAAAACCCACTGGAGTGTCAGCTGTGAGTTAGTTCCCACTTGATGGCACACAGCAACCAAAGAAAAGCTGTGCTATTTTCAGTGTAAGTCACAAACCCTCCCCCTCCTAATCATGACCAGTGCAATAAGAGATGAAGAAACTTCAGAAAGCTGAGATATGTTCAAGAGGAGATGCCCTCACTTGGGAAGAGCATTATTTAAAAGGACAGCTGATGCTTGTTAAGTGAGGAGCTACATTTCTGTATGTTAACTTTGAGAATATCCAACTGAGGTTATATCACTGGCCTGATAGAAGAGATATGGCAAATGTGACCAGGGAAGAAGGAACAGGACTGGGATGAGTAAATAAGGTGACATTAAAATCAGTCAGACTTTTGTTGGGCTTCTGTTCTTCCCCTAATTATCTGCACTGTCTCTGGAAAATGAACTAACTCTCAAGTGTAAACAAAAAAGATTAGTAGTCTCCAATTTGAGGGATTATTGGGATTGTAAAAAATACAGTATGTGCCTTTTAAAATACCTAGCAAATGTTAACTTCCTCTCCTGTCCTTTCTAGGGCCTCCACAGCTATCCCACCTTAGATGACCAGCAGAGAAGAGGAAATGAGACAGACTCACCATTTATCCATACACAATATACAAGGTGTCCTCAAGCTGAAAGCTGACTACTTTTCCCTTTATTCATGTCTAAAACTACTGTTCATATGATCTCACCCTATAAGATCAACTCAAGGGCTTCCAAAATTCCTCCTTCTCTCTCCTTTAAAAGAATATAAAAACTGGGTAATCCTCTGTGGTTGATAAATTATAAGACTGATTTATATGCAAAATTACATATAATATTATATAGGAAAAGATCATATATATTTAAAATTATGCATCATATTTCATACATATAATAGCTTGCCTCCAGAAACCCTATGAACCTAGAGAAAGGATGAACGTTATACAAACATTCAGGTCTTTCATTCATAGGGTCACTGTGAGTTGTCTACTACTTGACAACACTTAACAGCAACAACAACCATATCAATGAGAGCTGGAGGGCAAGCTATGTGTTGATTCCGATTTGAAGGTAATGAAAAATAGAGGGGAAGAAAGTATAAAATAATGCTTATTCTCATTAGTTAAAGGATGTTTCTGTATGTTGTGGCACGTGTTTATTAGGAACAGAGCACTGAGCCTCCAGCTTGGGAGTGGGTCTCCAAGATTGTCAAAGTTCATTAGATCTTGCCATCTTCACTGCACTGACAACAAAGGGCTGCTTCTCATCCTCCAGGCTGTGGTAGCACAAGAGGTCATGCTTGCCTTTATTTGACGATGTTTTCTAAATTCAAACCTTGAAACCTTTTCTCTTACTTCTTACCTGCATCTATATGCGGAGCTCAACTTGGTGAAACATTAGCTGGCAGACAACAAACCAACCCAGGTTATCTCCTTCTATACCTGAATCATGCACTTTTCTTCTAACTTCTCTGAATTTTCCAGAAGTGAATCTTCATGGAGCTTGGGATTTGTGGTGAGCAGTCCATGGTGCCACAATAGATAGAATGCTGGGCTGTCTGCTTACATCACTCTATAGCACACTATTAAAATCTCTGTGATGTTGTTGTTTGCTTCACACATGAATCTAAATCTGGAAAAGCAGGCTCAGGACTTTCAGAGTTCCATAGAATAAGGCAAAAATCACGCTCCCACTGCTACAGTTGGGTGAAGATACTCACGTTGAAGTCATAGAGTACACCAAAGTTGGCTGCAGATGCCTCTTCAGCTCTGGGAACCGTTTTCCTAGGTAAACTGCCATATGGCAAACCCCAGAGGTACTGTAAAGAGAAGCAACAAGAGTTAACAATAGGAGGCAAAGTCAGCACCACCCACAGAATCATGAATGGCTTTGTTTAAAAGTACTTCTGAAGCTTTGTCAAGGGGCCTTTGTGGGTCTCCTTGTGGGGTCCCATTTTCTGGGCATCGACTACCAGAAACAAAAGGAGCGGTAAGGGCTCCCACATTCCAAGTTCAGGGGACCACCAGCAGTGAGGCCAGAAGGCTTACTCCTGGAAGATCCCACTACCCACCACCAGCTCCAAATAGGTCTGATTTAAAGGATGGATGGATGGAAGAAAGAGATGTGGCCTTTAATGAGACTATACTTTTCAAGAGATCTGTCCTGCCTTCGTCTTCACACAGGAATAGTCCTTCAGGCTTGGGGGCTGGGGTGGACATTCTCTGCAACATCAAGTGATGAGAACACAGAAGAACCACTTATACAATCTGAAGGTACCAATAAGCAGGAGATAGTGGCTGAATAGTATATTTGTTTCACTACTAATTTGAGTTTGCTGTCCTGTGTTTGAGCCACCAAATCAGGAAAGAAACTTACTGGGGAGAATTAGACTAGGGAGCAGCCAGGCAATGAAGGCCTAACCAGATGCTTTCTGAGAACTAAAAAAACACCCCTCCTCCTCTGTCATGAGCAGGAATTAACTCAGCAACCGATAGGACCCTCAGGGTGGGGATCTGGCTCGCCAAACAGATGCTGCTTCTTTTGTGAAGATGAAAGTTTCACTTCTGAGGGTGGGGAGCGATGGCAAGTGCAGCTGAACATGGAGAATGGAGCCTGACCTGACACAAGCTTGGACTGCATGCAGTCCCTGCTCACTGCCTATGCTCAAGCTGCCTGCTCTTTCAGGGCCTCCCTTCCACCCTCGGGTTCCCTGGGACTGAGCACCCACAAGGTGGGCTCCACACATACTTTTAAGCCCCCAAGTTGACAGACCCAGAAGACACATTAGAATAGGGTCTCCGGTTTGTCCAGGGACTTTGGGCACAGGACACTTGTTCTGGAAGAAACAGGTGCCTGAGCAAGGCAGTGAGGCAGAGACAGCAAAACAAAGCAATGTTACAGTGATAAGGTGACTACCACTTGCTTCTGGTTGTGCTGTAGTTCATAGGCAGGGTGCCCATCATCTTTTCTTTTCCTAGTGGAATTGGTAGTTAAAGCCCCCAAAATAAGATGTCCTTCAGGATCCAACATTAGTCTAATGAAATCAATATGCTTCCTGGCTGGGAAGATAGAAATTCATCCAATGTCGTACATTAGCTCCAAATCAAACCAAATCCACAGCCTGTGAGTTGGTCCAAATCCAGTAAATCTGTGGACTCTCCCCCATAGAGTTTCCAGGGCTGTAAATCATCATGGAGGCAGACTGCCTCACTTTTCTCCTGTGGAGCGGCTGATGGTTTTGAACCACTGACCTTTGGTTAGCAGCCAATGCTTTAATCATGGCACCATCTTGTTGTTGTTGATTGCCATTGAGTCGAGAATGACTCATAGCAACTCTGAACATCTGATGTCTTTCTACAGATCTGATGTCTTTCTACAACTATTGTCCTTTCTCCAAGTTCATAGAGTTTCCCTAGGCATGTGATTTAGAAAGTGGATGCCAGTCCTGCTTCCAAACCTGTCTTAAACTGGGAGCTCCACCATGCACCGTCCACCTTGGGCAACTATTGTTGCCTTTGACACCCCAATTGCACAAAGTTCAGCATCACAGCAAACCCGGATTATGTCAGCACAGCAAATTAACAGAAGAATGAGGCACAACTTTGAAGAATGTTCCTCCAAAATATAACACTAGAGTCACTTAGCAATGGTTAAGACCTGAACCCTATTCTATAACTAATATCATTCTTAGCTACTTATATTATGTACTAAACACTATAATTTCATTTGGTTCAAGTAAATTAGGAACAACTTTCCACTTCCTCCACATGGAGGCAGCATGACGTGGAGGGAAGAGTAAAGAAATGCAGAGAGATGACACTCCTTTATTTATACCCTGCTTCTGGCACTAAGTAGTGTTGCAGGGCTGGGTGATGGGCTGGAGGACTTTCCCTCAGGAGTTTCCAGAGAGAGAGAGCAGCAAGAACTCAACTAAAGTTGGTTAAAATCACTGGCATACGTACCTTCTCCTGCGTCATAAAAACTTTCTACTTAGAAGACTAACTATACACCATATGAGATTGTCTCTGAGATAGATATGGGACGAGTGGATCAGAACACAAAATCTTGGAAAAACAGATATAGTCAGGTCCTAGACTCAGAACACTTTTACAGAAAATAAAATAATACTATTTAAAAAGAAGGGGAAGGAGGACCCTTCACTCTGAGCCACTAGGTAAGTCACAAGGTGCTCCATGATTTCATTTTCCCAGTTCTGAAATAGAGGAAGAAAAATCTTCATAATTAACCTCAAACTTTTTTTGTAAGTAGAACTAAAAGTTCTTTGCACTATAGGGTACTGTAATTTTTTATGCTACGAAGGCGACTTGATACAGAAATTGGTTCCAATATGAACAATAGACATAAAGAGTCATTTCAAACACCAAAGCCCATTGAACAAATTGGCTTTGACACCCTGGTACCTGAAAAGGTCTTTGTAGGTTAACTAAAGCTTAAGCCACTTTTTGTGTGGTAGAGATGCAAAAGGTCTGAATCATTTAACTTCATACGGGTCATTTAGCTAGTCTTGCTTGGAATTCCAATCTGTAGACAATGCTTTTTTCACATCAGCTCAAGGCTTTGTCTCTTTCCTCTCTGCCTAGACTACTCTTCTCTTGCTTTTGTGACCAGAGATTTCATCCCATCCCTACCCCACTGGGATGTGGTTGTGGATGCATCTATGTTGGGCTTCTTATTTGTGTCTTTGGGGAAATTTTCCTCACTTTGTGCTTATTCAGTATAAGTAAACCTGGACAACTTGAGTTGTATGTTGAAATATTTCTCCTGTATTTTTAGGAGGCTGGCTCCCACACCCTGTGGTGAGCAGTTTGAAGATTAGCCTGTATATTAACCAAACCAATTGCTATCAAGTCAACTATGACCCATAATGGCCACTGTGTGTCAGAATAGGCACTTTCAGTGACTGGTTATTTGGAAATAGATCAACAGACATTTCTCCTGGGGTGTCTTTGGGTGGATGACCTGAACTTCCAACCTATCATGGAGTTGAGTACAAAAAACATTTACTTTCTAAGAAAGTAAACCTCTGTGTGTGTGTGTGTGTGTGTGTGTGTGTGTGTGTGTGTGTGTGTGTGCAAATCTACTCAGGGATGTATTACTTAACATCCATTTAATCCATGAGGGTTTTTGCTTGTTTCTCAAGAGAAAGCAGCTCTCCTTTCATTTATTATTTTGCTATGTGTCTGAACTGACACAACAACACCTAATGCCAACAAAAACAAGGGTTCTAAGAACCCCAAGCCCAGATCCTTGCAGCTTGGACCATAAGTGGGATACAGGCAGGTGAGGCGGAGGACACAGCTCCAATGTAGACTATCAGGTTTCCTTCAGTGCACAGCTGGGCAGTGACAGTGGGGGTTCCTGCAGGGTTGGGGATACCCCTGATGCTCAGGTAGGCAGATGAGTACTTAGGACTGGCCATGCCCACTCCCTCCTTTCTTGGCATCCTTTTTTCTCTACTCTCACCAAAAGCTTAATACCACCACTGCTGCCAGTATCCATTTCTTTGGCCTCTGCCAACATCTCCATAATAGATAATAAGAGTGATGAAGACAAATGGAAGAGGACTCCCATGAGTGTTAATTTGATGCTCACACAATGTCCAAACAACATAATGTCCTGTTTAACAGAGTGTATCGTGAAAATTGAGCAGCACATATTTATTATACATAAACACCAAAACTAGACCCCTTGCTATAAAGCTAATTCCGACTCATAATAATCCTATAAGACATAGTAGAGCTGATCCATTGAGTTTCCAAGCTCTGGAAATCCCAGAACACTTGATTGTTCTTATGCAAACTTATACTTGGACCAGAAGACAATTGTCAGAACAGAACCAGAAAACACTGCATGGTTCAAAATTGGGAAGGGCATGAGTCAGAGATGTGTCCTATCTCCATATCTTTTCAATCGATATGCAGAACAGATGATCCAAGAGGCTGGGTTCTAATGAGGAAAAGTGTGGCATCAGGATTGGAGGTAGACAACAATATTCATTATGCAGATAACACAACCCTGCTTGCAGAAACTGAGGAGGACCTGAAGCACTTGCTGAAGAAGGTCGAGGAATGCAGCCTTCAATAGGGATTGTTTTTAAAAATTTATATATGTTTTTCTACTAGTTTATTTACCAAATTTGAATACAAATTTGAACAAATGCTCTCAATTTCCCTCACCCATCAAATTGTACAACCCAGTGATTAATCTCCCCTGCCCCCTGCACATCCACATCCCTCTGCTTCCAGCCTCTCCCACGCCTCCTGGATTCTTATACTCATTCTACAATAAAGGTCTTATACAATATTTACCCTTATGGGACTGAGTTCACTCAGCATAATGCTCTCCAATCCCTCCTAAGTTAGAAAATTATTTACAAAGTTATCGCTCCTGCGTGCTGCATAGTATTCCATTGTGTGAATGTACCGTAATTTCTCTATTCATTCGTTTGTGGTTGGACATGTGGGCTGTTTCTATGTTCTTGAGAGGGTGAATAATGCTACTGTGAATATTATTGTACAAATCTCAGTTTGTGCCTCAGTTCTCATATTCTCAGGTTATATTCCAAGCAGTGGAATAGCTGGGTCATATGGAATTTCTATGTTCAGCTTTTTGAGGAAGCACCAAACTGCCTTCCAGAAGGTTGCACCATTTTACAGTCCCATCTAAGAGTTCCTTTCTTGCCACATCCTCTCCAACATCTATCGCTTGCTGCCCTGTTAAACTTTGCCAGTCTTACTGGAGTGTGATGGTACCTCATTGTGGTTTTGATTTGCATCTCTCTTATTGCCAGTGATTTGGAACATTTCTTCATGTGTCTGTTTGCCATTCTCAATCTCTTCGCCATCTATCATAATGCTGCCAAACAGCCCAGTGGTGAGAGTCTTTGTTTTTCTTGACATTGAGCTTCAATCCATATTTAAGGAACAATGAGGAAGCCTGATTGTTGACAGCTTTAAGTTTTAATTTGCTTGACTCTACAATCAACACTCTTGGTACCAGCATCCAGGAAATTAAAATTGCATTGGGAAAGTATACTGTCAGAGACCTCTCCAATGTACTGAGGAGCAACAATGTCAGTCTGGAGACTAAAATGCACCTGATACAGGCCATGGTCTTTGCCATTACTTTCTATGCTTCAGAGAGCTGGACAATGACTAGGGATTATAGAAGGAGAGTAGATGCCTTTGAGCTTTGGTGCTGGAGAAGAGTATTGAATATACCATGAGCTGCTAGGAGAACAAACAATTTCATCCTGGAGAGGGTGAAACCAGACTGCTCTTTGGAGGCCAGGATTCTGAAGCTTTGTCTGACATACTCTGGACATGCTGCAAAGAGGGACAAGTCCTTGGAGAGGGACATCATGCTTAGGAGGGTGGAGGGACGGTGCAGGAGAGGAAGATCCTCAATGTGATGGATTGATTCTGTCACTGGAGTGATGGAGATAGGCGTGTTGGAGATAATGAAATTGGCAAGGTATAGAGCAGTGTTTAGGGCTGTTGTATATAGGGTCACTATGAGTTGCAAGAGATTCGATGGCACACAACAAGAACAATCTTTACAGAAGCAAACTGATACATCATTCTCCTGTGGAGTGGCTGAGTGTGAAATATTTGTCTTTGAATTAGCACTAAATCACTGTACCACCAAATGCACAAGAGGCCCCTGGTAAAATATGTGTATACATGTAGGGAGCTCTGGTGGCCTCGTGGCAAGAAGCTGTCCTGCAATCTTAAAGGCACTCTGTTAGTGGCTACCAGCTGCTCCATGGGAGAAGGATGGGCAATCTTTTTTGCAGTTAACTGCATCTGAAAACCTGTCGGAGGGTCAGCTATGGGTCAGTTCCAACTCTACGGTACACCACCACCACCACAACAACAACATATGTATCTATACACAAACATAACTAGAAATAGAAGTATATTTATATGTTATTGTTGTTGTTGTTACATGCTGTTGAGTCGCCAATGACTCATAGTGACCCTATAGAACAGCCCTAAACCCTGTTCTGTCCTGTGCCAGTCTCATTGTCTTACCCCATTACCCCAGTCACCAAATCAATCCACCTCATAGAGGATTTTCCTTTCCTGAGCTGTCTCTCCACCTTCCCAAGCATGATGACCTTCTTCAAGGACTGGCCCCTCCTTGTAGCATGTCCAAAGTATGTCAGACAAAGCTTCAGAATTCTTGCCTCCAAGGAGCAGCCTGGTTTAACCCTCTCCAGGATGAACCTGTTCATTTTTTAGCAGTCCATGGTACACTCAATACTTTTCTCCAACACCACAGCTCAAAGGCATCAATTTTCATTCTATCCTCCCTAGTCACTGTCCAACTCTCTGAGGCATACCAAGTGATTGCAAAGACCATGGCCTGTATCAGGCACATCTTAATCTCCAAAGTGACACCATTGTTCTACAGTACTTTGGAGAGGTCTCTAGCAGCAGACTTTCCAATCACAATACGTCTTTTAAATTCCTGGCTGCTGGTGCCAAGAGTGTTGACTGTGGAGCCAATCAAACTAAAGTTGTGAACAATCTCAATCTCTTCACCATCCATCCTGATGCTGCCAAATGGTCTAGTGGTGAGAATCTTTGTCTTCTTGACATTGAGCCTCAATCCATACTGAAGGCTGTAGTCCTTGACACTCTGCAGCAAGCACTTCAGGTCCTCCTCAGTTTCGACAAGCAGGATTGTATCATCTGCATAATGCAGATTTTTTATGAATCTTCCACCAATCCTGATGGCACACTTCTCATCACAGAGCCCAGCCTCCCAGATAATCTGTTCTGCATATAAGTTGAAATACATATATAAACATTTCTATATTGTTGTTAAGTGCCAGTGAATCAACCACCACTTGTAGTGAGCTTATGAACAACATATCTGAACCTTGTCCTTTCCTGTGCAATTCTCATCGACTGTGTTAGGCATGAGCCCTTGAGCTCACTGTTACTGCCCCTGTCTCAATTCACCTTGGTGAGGATCTTCCAATCTTTCTCTGAGTCTCCACTTTTCCAGCATAATATTTTTGGAAAAAGACATTACAGACTGGTCCTTCCTAACTACATGCCCAAAGTATGTGAGAGGATGTTTCACCACCTTTGGCTCTAGGGAGCACCCTGGTTGCATTCTTCAAGACAGATCTGTTTGTTTTTTTAGCAGTTTACTAAATATTCAGTACTCTTCTCCAACACTACAACTCAAAGGCATCAATTATTCTTCGGTCATCTTTATTTATTTTCCAATTTTTAGATGCATAGCAAGTAAATGAAATGATCATGGCTTGCATCAGGCACTGGAATAATACTCTATTTAACTCTTAAGCAGTGAATAGTGTCACCAGTTTCCCCTACTGTTATAGAAGGGCAAAGAGTTCTCCTACGAGAGGGATCACAAAGAAACTTGTTTCAACACATTTTCTGAACTAGACGTCAAAGTCTCACTCACCTCTGGCAGCATGATGAGGCTGAATGTCAGGACAAAGAGAACCATATTTACTCCATACATCCATCTCAAAAAGAGGAAATACGAAGCCACGGATGATCCAAACTGGCCTATGAAAAGGAAAATGCAAAAGTTGGCAGGAAGAGCAAACCAAAGCAGAAGTTCTGTCTTTGTCATCCTCCAAAACAAATCACCTCATTACGAGACATTTGTCCTTTTCAAAGGAGCTTCTAGCATCCTTGGTTTTCTATCCAGGGAGAGAATATGTACATCATGATGGAAGTGTCTCCTATATACACATATGGAATTTATGTGGAATAGTCATGACCTACCTTCAAAGTTTATAAAAGAGAAAACTCTCCTTAATTCGGGAGCTATTTTCATTATCACTGAGTTGGAATCACCTCATAGGTGACCCTCCAGCAGCCTTCTAAAGCTGTGAATTTCAAGGAAGGAAATTGACCACTTCCCAAAAGAACAGTTTCACTCTTATAAGTAAGGATAAATAAGCAACCTTCCATAAAGTGGTTTATACAATATTGGCAAGAAGTTGAACTATGATTATAATTACTACAATACTTCTTCTTTTTAGGGGGTAAATGATATTCTTCTTGAAAGTGTATCATGTATCTAGGAAGCTCTGATGGTCTGGTGATAAGGAGATGCACTGCCAACCTGAAGGGACATGATTCGAATCCATCAGCATCTTTGTGGAAGAAAGATGAAAAATGTTCTCCTATGCAATTTACTGCCTCTGAAAACTGCTGAAGGGTAAGCTATGAGTCGGTTATAATGCCAACATGGATGTTTAACGGTGATCTGTTGGCCTAGTCCATAAGGAGTTGTGTCGCCACACTTCTCTCGGGGTTCAAATCAACCATTGGCTCCATGGGAGAAATACAGGCAATCTCCTTTCATGTGATTTAGTGTCTCCGGACCCAATGGAGGGTCAGCTGTAACTCAAAGGCAAAGAGAGAAAGTTTAATAGGTGCTTATCCTACTAAGTGTGCTGTTTCCTCTCATCAATGCTATTCTGCTAGGATAGACTGGAAATTCATTCATTCTCTGTACACATACAGTAAAAACTAAGCATTTTAGGCCACAGAGATATTAAATGCTCAAAATAGACTCCCAGCTATAATACAACTTAGGTCTTTATAAAGTGTGAGAACTATAATTATGCAAAACAAGAGCAAAATAACTGTGTGATACTACAGGAAGGGAAATAAAGTATTGATAGGGATTACTTTAGGTAGGTTTGTCAAGGGCGGTCTAGTCAAGTACACTTATTGTCCATTAGGGAAACACCGTACTGCAAATATGTCTGTGATCCTATAAGCTTATAACAGAGAAATCTCAATCCAGCAATGAAGTGAAGCAAATGCCAACAGTTTTCCATGTTATTGTTGTTGTTAAGTGCTGTCGCGTCATAGACAACTCATAGCGACCCTATGAATGAAAGACCTAAACACTTGTATAACTTTCATCGCTTCTCCAAGGTCATAGAATTTCTGGAGGCAAGCTCTTTCAGAAGTGGGTGCCACTACTGCTTCCAAGCTTGTTTTAATTGGGAAGCTCCATCAAACACAGTCCACCATGGGTAGCCATTATAGCATTTTAAACATCAGTGTCACAGTGTTTAGCATCACAGCAACCATGAGTTACCTCTATATAACAAATGGACAGACCAGTGCTATATCACTTAGAAGAAGGTTTGGCCAAAAACAATTAAAGCCAGGCCTGAGGGCTGCAGATTAAAATCACCCACCTTTGGCTTGGTAGCATAACTTTCTATCAGCTAGGCCAACAGAGCTCTCTCTATGCTGGTGTTGTTGTTAAGTGCCATTGAGTCGCAGATGACTCATAGTGACCCTATGAATGAAAGACTTGTGTATTTCAAGTGTCTCATACATACATACATACACACACACACACACACATACACACATGTATATATTGTGGGTACCATACAGTTGGAACTGACAGAACTGCATGCCTTCAGAACTGCAGCACTGCTTCTTGACTCTAGGCCACCAGAGATTGCCTCTCTCTCTCTCTCTCTCTCTCTCTCTCTCTCTCTCGCTCTCTCTCTCTCTCATAGTCATAACAATTGCCCATGTTATTAGGTTATGCATATTGTACACCCTAACTTACAAAGCAGGAATATTCAAGCTTATATATATGATGTTTTTTGAGTGTCATAGATTTATCTCTCGGTTTAATCATTTTTTCAAACTATTGCTCATAGTTCCCAAACACAGCAAAACTGTTGTTAGTTAAAACAGCAGCAAAAGGCAAAGAAGAAGTATTGATTTGGAATTTAGATGTAAAAAACAGTGACAGTTGCTGCTTATGATTTAGTTACATCATACTTGAAAATCACAACAATACTCAAAAACAAAGGGAAAAAAATCTCCAAGTTTTAAAGAACTGACTCGGGTGAAAGGTACAAGATTAACTAAAATAAACTGCTTGTGGGACCTGAATCAGATATGGAGAAATTGATAATGTTGTGGATTGAGGATCAAAGACAAAACCGAACGCCTCTCAGCATGTTGATGATTACTGATAAGGTGCAAAGTTTTTTAAAGATGCTTAAAGAGAATATAGTATCAGACAGTTTTAATATGTTCCAAAGAAGGCCAGATCACATAATCTCCTTCATAGAAAGTATCATGGATATTAAGTGTCGCTTGGTTCCCATGTCCCATATGACTCCACATCATGTAACAAAGATGGCATTTCAACAGTGACCTGAAGGTGAAGAGACAGTAAGACTCAGGGTCTGACAAACTTTTCAGCAGAGGAAAGAGCAAAGACAAAGGTCCTGACAGAGGCCAGAGCCTAATGTGAACAAGAAGAAACAAACAAAGCCTGTTGGAGTACAATGAATGAAGGGAAAATGGAGGCAGACAACAGGGGGAAAGGAGCCCAAAATCACATTGTGCAGGGCTCTTAAGATAAAAAGTGAAGAGTTTGTTCTTTATGAGTTGGGAATCACTGACAAGTGTTAAGTAGTGAATGAAAGAGTGATTTTAAAAGAAAAATGGGGGGGGGTATTGTATAACAATGAAATAATTTTATTTTCTTCAAAGAGAAAAATGAACTGGAGGTAGGGGTTGGCAGGGAGGAAAATGTACAACAATGAATGAATGGGGGAAAATAAAGGGAAAGAATATGCTGTAATATATATATATATATGTAGTATTAAAAAGTCATTAATAATAACAAAGAACCTAATAACTAAAAAAAATTATGTCACTTTGGCTGCAAGATTGTATTGGAAAAGAACAGACAAGAATACTCCATCAACTTTACCTAATGAAAACAGTGAAGAGGAAAGTGATCTGTCCAATTCTTATTGACTGAGAACAAATGAGAGTTTTTCTAAAGCAGAGAATTAAAAATAGAAAAAACAAGAGCTAAAAGTCTAAAGTTGAGATTTCATTCATAAGTGAAAGCCATGGTTTATAGAATATTTTTGAGCATCTTTCAAAATTTCAGTTTAAGTTGAATTTCTGATTTTCAATTTTTCTTCAAGGGAGAAGTAATAACCATCCTCAACCCTTTCCTGCATCAACTCCTTTGTATGATCTCATTCGGCCACACAATGTCATGGTCAATGATTTTGTTGGGCTTTAAAACAATGGTGAGACGTTATTGGAGCAGAAAGCCTCTGGGAAAGCGAATTCTAGTCTGTTTTCTAAGATGAGGCTAGTTTCCCATGACAGTAATATCTTTATTTCTGAAATGCAATCTACTCTTTTGATAACATTTTACTTAGTACCATCACACAGTGGCGGACTTTTAACGAAATTTAAGAAGAGGTTGAACTATCGGTGATAATTTGGAAAAAGTGAATTCCTTTGAATCCTGAAAAATTTTTTCAATTCTAAAGACAGATCTGGATTAATTTCATATTATGATGGCATATAGAATTCTGTTAGAAGTCTAAGAGCACATGGTTTTGATAAACACATATGTTATGTGTTGTGACCAGACACACTGGTCAGTGGGCAGAAATGCTAAAGCAGATCCACCCATCACCCATCAGAACACCTGATCACTCACCTTGATCCCAGCAATTTCATATCATTTCATGGCTGTTATCTCTGTTCTTGGGTAATGACTAGCTGAGGACTGTTCTTGCTAATTTTCATGTGTACTGTTTTATTGAAGATTGAATGCAATGAGCTTTCAACTTGTTAGTCATTCTAGTCATTCATTTACTGGAGGAAAATCTCCATCTGTAGGTGTCAGGGTAAGTGGGTCCCCAGAAACACACACAAGTGAGACTGTCAAGAACAGTCAATAGACTTCTTTCCCTCCAGCACTAATGGACATATGGTCACAATGAATTGCATGTGACTCTAGGCACATAACAACAATTACCACCAAGGGAGTTCTGCTAGCCTAGTAGAAAGGAGTTTCAATGCAAACTCAAAGGCAAGTGGTTTGAATCCATCAGCTGAATTAAAGGGGAAAAGATGAGCAATATCCTTCTGTGTGATATACAGCCTCTGAAAATCCAGTGAAGGGTCAGCCATGAATTCCAACTCAACAGCAATGAGAGACGGAGTGAATGAATTACTACCATGGTCCACCTTCTGCCAGCCCCATTCCTAACCTCTGGGAAATTAATTTCTGATGCATAAAAATAAATATATTGTTGTGGTGATGTGCTATAGAATCAGAACCAGCACCATAGATCACCCTCTGGTGCGTTTTCAGAGAAAGTTCATTGCATGGGAGGAGATTGACCAACCTTCTCCCACAGAGCAGCTGGTGGCCTCGAACTTCGTGCCTTTGGGATTGCATCACAGCTTCTTGTCACTAGGCCACCAGAGCTACAAACATGCAACATTTGGCTGAACTAAGACACCAGCAGCCAGGAAATTAAAAGACGTATTGCGATGGGAAAGTCTGCTGTTAGGGACCTCTCCAAAGTACTAAAGAGTCATGGTGTCACTCTGGAGATGAAGGTGTGTCTGATACAGGCCATGGTCTTTGCAATCACTTGGTGTGCATCAGTGAGTTGGACAGTGACGAGGGAGGTTAGAAGGAGAATTGATGCCTTTGAGCTCTGGTGTTGGAGAAGAGTACTGAGGGT